ATTGATGAATTTATCAGATTTTTTAACATCTTTTGATTTATCAGTTACGTTTACAACTTGAATATTTTTTGACAGATTTATTTTATCAACAGCATCTGATCTATCAGTCTTATCAACAGCATCTGATTTATCAATTTTATCAACAGAATCTGATCTATCAATTTCATCAACAGCATCTGATTTATCATTTTTATCAACAGCATCTGATTTATCAATTTTATCAACAGAATCTGATCTATCAGTTTCATCAACAGCATCTGATTTATCAATTTTATCAACAGCATCTGATTTATCAGTTTCATCAACAGCATATAATCTGTAAGTTTTATCAACAGCATCTGATTTATCAGTTTTATCAACAGCATCTGATTTATCAGTTTTATCAACAGCATCTGATTTGTCAGTTTTATCAACAGCATCTGATTTATCAATTTTATCAACAGAATCTGATCTATCAGTTTTATCAACTTTATATAATTTATCAATTTTATCACCAGCATCTGATTTATCAATTTTATCACCAGCATCTGATCTATCAGTTTTATCAATAGTTTCTGATGTATCTGTTATATCAGCAGCATCTGATCTATCAGTTTTATCAACAGCATCTGATTTATCAATTTTATCAACAGAATCTGATTTATCAACATTACATAATTTATTAGTTTTATTGACAGCATTTGATTTATGAATTTTTCTAACAGCAATAGATTTATGAGCTTTACAAACAGCATCTGATCTATTAGTTTTATCAACAGCATCTGACTTATCAATTGTATCAACAGAATTTATTCTATAAGTTTTATCAATTTTATATAATTGATTAGTTATATCAACAGCATCTGATTTATCAGTTATATCAAGGGCATCTGATTTATCAGTTATAGCAAGGGCATCTGATTTATCATTTTTATCAACAGCATCTGATTTATCAGTTTTATCAACAGCATCTGATTTATCAGTTTTATCAACAGCTTCTGATTTATCAGTATTATCAACAGCATCTGATCTATCAGTGTTATCAACAGCATCTGATTTATCAATTTTATCAACAGAATCTGATCTATCAGTTTTATCACCTTTATATAATTTATCAGTTTTATCAACAGCGCCTGATTTATCATTTTTATGTAATTTTTCAGTTTTATCAACTTGATACAATTTTTCAGTTTTATAAATTGCATCTGATTTATTGACTTTATCAACAGCATCTGATTTATAAGTTCTATCAACATCATTTGATTTATCAGTGTTATCAACATTTTCTAAAGTATCTGTTTTATTGTCTTCTGAATCATCCATTTTATTATCATCTTCTGGTTTGGTATTTTTGTCTCCGACTGGATAATCATCTGGCTCATTCATTTTAACAATAGTTTCGACATAATCAGTTTTATCAACATCAATTTCATTAAATTTACTAACATCTGATTCATCTGTTGACATATTTAAAACTTGAAAACCTTGTGATTCATTCAATTTATCAAATTCTGTTTTATCAACTTCATGAACATCTGATTTATCAGTATTATCTTCTGATTCATCAATTTCACCCTCATTGTCATCTGTTTCATTTCTTTCACTGACGTTTAGACTGGAAACTGGAAACAGTTTGTCCACTTCGTGAGCAGCTTGATAATCCTTGGAATCATCTGTTTCATCATCAAATGGATTATCTACCTGCTGAGATGTGGTAGATACTTGAAGGTTGAAAACAAAAATGTCCTGCGATTCTGTAGCTATTTTATGCTTGTTGTTGCAAAGTTCAGTAAACTCAAGGCTACAATGATCCAACTCTTCAATGACTTCCAAATCAGCACTTTTACACTCGTTCATCTTTGACCCCATCCTCGGGCTTGAGGATTTGATGTTGCTCGGGTTAACGTGATGCACCACAGGTGATGGACCAATGCCACAGGCCAAGTGGTGAGGCGGCACCAGACATTGCTTATCTGGCATCATGGAACCCACCGCCTCGTCTTTTGTCCTCCAGGGTATCTCCGAGTCCCCAGCTTCTGCCGCATGCTCGTCCACAACCAGACCAGCATGCAAGCGACCAGTCCCTACCAAATCTGCCTCGTCCACTACCTGCCCCACGTCGCGCTGAAAAGTTCTGGCTAAATCTGCTTCGTCCACAAACTGACCAGCATTGCAGTAATTAGTCCCACCTAAATCCCTCTCATCCACAACCTGCCCTACGTGGCGTTGAAAGGTTCTGGCTAATTCTGCCTCGTCCACAACCTGACCAGCATGGCAGTGACCTATTCCGCCCAAATCTTCCTCATCTACCGCCAGCCCAACATGGCGCCGACTATTCAATGTCTGCTCAACGTTTTTTTCAATCTTTCGACTCTTCTCTTGATAAGGTTTTGTGAAGAGCTGATCCAGCTTGGTTAACCTAAGAAAAGAGGTCAGCAGTTGTGTGGAGCGACTGGACTTACATTCCGCAGATGCCGCCGATGAGAGTAAAGATCTGGTGGTGGTGGTCTGACTGGAGGCCGGACACGAGATAGTGGAGGAGCTGTAGCCAACGCTGTCGTCAGCACAAATATTCTTCATCTCCGAGTCTAGTGATTCAAGTGCCAAGTCGAATACATCAGAATTGCTGTAGACAGTGTCAACTGTCAGCTCGGCTGTGCTCTCCATGCTGTATACTGAGGATGTCACCTTGGGATTTGTGTTTGTGGCATCGCAGACACCGTCCGCACCTAGAAACGAACTTTGTACCAGATGACTAATTGCCCCGGCTGGCTGATGAGCTCTCGAACATGACATCTTGTTTGTGACGTCATGGACGTATGGACGTGTGACGTCACAGGGTTTTGTGCTGCAGGGTTTCGGCTTCCTACTGGTCTCATGTCCTTGACCTCTAGACCCCTGATTGTTATCCAGATATTGCTCACCTTGACCGACAGATTCCGCACTCAAGTTCAACAAACTGTCATTCCACATGATGGAAAATTCTCCATCCAGTATGTATTCAGCCTGGCTCTGTTCAAAGGGGTCGTCCCTTTCCTTAAGCCTACTGCCAACACCGGGGTCATCAATGAGCCCGGATGCCTGGAGATCTGATATGTTGGAGCTGAGTTCATGCTCCTCTGAGTGCCACTGATATCTGTATCCCACCTGCTCGTCAACAACGGTGGGTTGGGTCTCCAGCATCTCCTCGCAGATGTCAGGGAGTGAATGAAAGGAATCTGAATCCAGACAAAACTTTTTTGGCGCCGCCTGAAAACTAGGCTTGGATCTAATTTTAGGGCTTCGATCAACCTTCGTGCTCCTGGTGTTTGAATTTGCTGAGTAGCTCATCCTGGTTTCTGCTTTGTTGCTTGAGGAGTAAGTGAAGATGTCGACGGGGCTGCGAGTGAGGGCGGAGTGGTGGGAGGCTCGGCTGGTCAAGTTCGGAGGTGTGGCTGGAGCCACACGGGGGCTTGAACTCTTTGACTTTTTGGTTTTCACTGGAGGGCTGCGTCCTGTTGGATTATGGGACTCGTTTCTGTCACACCCATGAAATGGTATCTTAGCTGACTGTGTTTTTTCATCACACAACTTCACCTGAGTTGGGTCGGGAGACTGGCTGCTAAGATAATAACTTTCAACGCGGGCGTCCACAAACAAATCTTTCATCTCCTGGCTTCCCGCAGCTGCGATTATATCTGTTAACAGCACAGGATCTCTGGCGCCAGGTAGCCTTGAGGTCTCTGGCAGCACTGTTTCATCAAACAAGCCTTGGAACTGGCAGAGGTTGTTGAAAAAATACCTGGTGAACTCTAAGCTTGAGGCTGGCGCAGGGCTTGGTTGCAGCTTCTCACTCGTGGCATGAGCTGTGACGTGTCCCTGTATGGATGACATGTCCCCAAAGTGGCAGTGTTGAAAACTCTTCTCCTTCCCCACTTTCGGAGTTGAGTTCTGTCTTCTGTGCCTCTTCCAACTACATTCAGATGGTGAGTCACTCCGTGCCTTATAACCTGTTTTTTTTTGCCTACCCAAGTTAAGATCACATTCCTGATCCTCAAAAATGGCAAACTTTGGAGGTGAGCTGTTTGGCGTTGTGTAGTCATCTGAACTCTGGGAGTCTGATTCTGAAAGAACCTCATCAGGAGACGAAGATTTTGCCAGCTCACACGGATAACAGTGTAGCGCAGACAGTGGCAGAACAACTACCATGTTGCTGGCGTCTCCATGGAAGAGATGGTTCAAACCTTGGAAGGAAGCAGCTGGGCAAAGTCTCTCTGCCGCCTGCAAGTGTCTCAGACAGCTGTGAGACTCTGTGTTGCCCGCCCTGCATGTGCAGGATGTTAAATCCACTCTACCAGCACAGGAGGTTTTATCCACAGCTCTACTCCTTCCAGACTGCTGGATGATCCTGTCTGAAGCGTTGGCTTCTTGTGGATATGCTCCACAGTCGCAGGTTTCCGCTGCATTTCTCACACTACCTTTCATCTCTTCATCTAAAAGTTATTGAGGGACAGAATACACAGTTGGACATACTTTCTAGCTATGTGGGATAGACTTTCTTTGTTGGACAGACTTTCTAAGTTGGACAGACTTTCTTTGTTGGACAGACTTAAGGTTGGACAGACTTTCTATACTGAAGAGACTTTCTATATTGGACAGACATTCTATGTAAGACAGAATTTCTATGTTGGACAGACTTGTAATTTATGTTGGACAACACACTTTCTACCTCTACCTTTCTACATATGTTAGACAACATAGACTTTCTAGACAAGTTGGACATAATGTTGCTTAAACTTTCTAGATTTTAGATAAAACAGCCATACATATCTATGCTGGGGAACCTGTAAAATAAACTACTCTAACAGTATAAAAGTTGAGGACCCCGTGTAAATAGAAGGACCATCACATTTCAAAGCCAGATGTTGGAAGTAAGGGGGAAAAAAATCTAATACTGGCTATTGCAAAAAAATGTAAAAGCAAGCGGGTGAGAGTTAGGGAATGAGAATCTCAATGTATCATGCGCTAAAGATCAGACTCACCTAATCTTGTAAACAGTTTTCTTGCTACTAACAACAGAGCCTGTAAGAATTAACAGATGGGTCAACACAGGAAAATAAAATAATTTCGCAAGAACTCAACTTGAATTATGATACAGTGTTTATATATTAAACAGGGTTTACACTTACTACATGTAGACTATACATGTCTAGAAAAAAAAAGCAACAAGTATACTGTTCCATGGGAAAAGTATTTTTATATAAAATTAACTTTTCGCTTTTTTTGTAATGTATAGTATTCGTGTCGCAATTGTAAAACGCTGTGTTAAGATACAGCTAAGTGAGTTCAACTTTTAATAGAATCAGAAAAACTTTCTTAATTTATTTTAAGATTCTTGTATTGAGCTTAAACAATCAAACCCTGTTGGAGTGTGGTAATCCATAGGGCGGGTAAAGTAAAGCATCTGATACTTGACTACTGTATAGGAAGAGATGTTATGGTCAGCACTATGTTCAACCGCCTTTACTTTCCTTAACACGAGTGAGGTACCCATCACAGCTAGATGGACTTGGGGATGTACTTGAGAACCAAGTCTGAGATCTAACTTAAGACTAGCAAGTTGGCAATCAAGAGCTACTACCCAAATCCTGCATCTTAAACCATCACTCAAAGATAGAACAGATGTAAAAACTAAGAGACCTGGGTCTGGTTTTTTAACTTGCGCTCATTCTGGAAGGCGAGTGTGCTGGTGAGGACAGTAGCAGTGTACTTGAAGCACTGTAAGACAACATCTATGTCAGCCTGGTTAAACCTGAAACAGACAGGACACAGGGTTAACCCCATCCTACCCAAAAATGTAAGACAACATCTATGTCAGCCTGGTTAAACCTGAAATAGATAGGACACAGGGTTAACCCCATCCTACCCAAAAATGTAAGACAACATCTATGTCAGCCTGGTTAAACCTGAAACAGACAGGACACAGGGTTAACCCCATCCTACCCAAAAATGTAAGACAACATCTATGTCAGCCTGGTTAAACCTGAAATAGATAGGACACAGGGTTAACCCCATCCTACCCAAAAATGTAAGACAACATCTATGTCAGCCTGGTTAAACCTGAAATAGATAGGACACAGGGTTAACCCCATCCTACCCAAAAATGTAAGACAACATCTATGTCAGCCTGGTTAAACCTGAAACAGATAGGACACAGGGTTAACCCCATCCTACCCAAAAATGTAAGACAACATCTATGTCAGCCTGGTTAAACCTGAAACAGATAGGACACAAGGTTAACCCCATCCAACCCAAAAATGTAAGACAACATCTATGTCAGCCTGGTTAAACCTGAAACAGATAGGACACAGGGTTAACCCCATCCTACCCAAAAATGTAAGACAACATCTATGTCAGCCTGGTTAAACCTGAAACAGATAGGACACAAGGTTAACCCCATCCTACCCAAAAATGTAAGACAACATCTACGTCAGCCAAGTTAAACCTGAAACAGATAGGACAAAGGGTTAACCCTATCCAACCCAAAAATGTAAAGATGACATCTGTCAGCCTGTTTAAACCTGAAATAAAACACAGGGTTAACCCTATCCAACCCATAAAAGTTAAAACAATATCTATGTGAGCCTAGTTAAACTTGTACTAGACTTTACTAAACTTTACTATTGTGGTGAGACTTCTAAAAACCATTATTGTTGTGGGTAGAGCTATTTTCTAAAACCCTGCACAACCTACAGAGTGGGGCAGTGATTAGAACTTGGTTCCAGACTTACTCTTCATGATTCTGCTTGTTGACAACACAAGCTAAGGCTAGGAGATCTTTGCTCTCACTCAAGCCCACAGGCACACACAGAAGTGAGTACACCTGTCTCCTGATGATTTTCTCAACCTCACATCTCCGATCCTGATAGATGGAAATATATTTGTCGACATCACAAAAATATTTGTCAACATCACAAAAATATGTGTCAACATCACTAAAATATTTGTCAACATCACAAAAATATTTGTCAACATCACAATTTTTTTTGTCAACATCACAAAAATATTTGTCAACATCACAATTTTTTTTGTCAACATCACTAAAATATTTGTCAACATCACTAAAATATTTGTCAACATCACTAAAATATTTGTCAACATCACTAGAATATTTGTTAACATCACAAAAATATTTGTCAACATCACTAAAATATTTGTCGACATCACAAAAATATTTGTCAACATCACTAAAATATTTGTCAACATCAAAAAAATATTTGTCAACATCAAAAAAATATTTGTCAACATCACAAATTTTTTTGTCAACATCACAATAATATTTGTCAACATCACTAAAATATTTGTCAACATCACTAAAATATTTGTCAACATCACTAAAATATTTGTCAACATCACTAAAATTTTTGTCAACATCACTAAAATATTTGTCAACATCACAAAAATATTTGTCAACATCACAAAAATATTTGTCAACATCACAAAAATATTTGTCAACATCACTAAAATATTTGTCAACATCACTAAAATATTTGTCAACATCACAAAATCGTTTGTCAACATCACTAAAATATTTGTCAACATCACAAAAATATTTGTCAACATCGCAAAAATATTTGTTAACATCACGAAAATATTTGTCAACATCACAAAAATATTTGTCAACATCACAAAAATATTTGTTACATTAATATGTCTTGAAAATGTTTTCATCCATCCAAGCAATTTAATGTAATGGTCTATTAAGAAATCTTAGTTTGTTAACTTATATAAGGTAAGATAAAGTGGTATTAGACACCTTACCTCAGATTGACAGTTCATACATAAAAATGCGAAGTTAAAAAATTTTTTAACTAGTATTGTTCGACTCGTGGTAAGTACCTGACACGTTTATCATTTTAAAATCCACATGTCGGCATTCTCCCTATGTCTACACCTACCTTAGTCTGAAAGAAGGGGCTACTTCCATGGATGATCGACATACTAATTCCAAGTATTGGCAATAATTCATGTAAAAATGTTAATTAAAATGATAAAATTAATTTTGTTGTTATATCCGTGGTCTTTATTTTTTTATATTGAGTCTGTTATGTATACATTTAAATTAGGAGCTCATGGGCATGGGGATTTTAGCTCTGGAGCTAAGGTTCCGAAGGGTTAAAGAAAATACATAGTTGTAGTGCTAGTTTAGATAGATTTAGTCACTGAAGAAAAAAAACAACTTAGTGCTTGTTTATGTAGTTCTAGTCCTGCATCTAGTTCACTCACCACTGGTATATCTGCTAATGTCAGAGGCTGTTTGCTCTCTAATGCCTTGCCAAAACAACTGGATGGACCCTAAAAAACACAGAAGAAAATAATCCAATCACTCTCCGCAACAAGGAAATTAAAAAAAAACTATTATTATTCATCTTTTCTCTTGACAAACTTCAAAAGGTTAAGTTCATATAATCTTTTATCAAGGAAAAAAGTAAATCAAGAGTAGTTTAAAAACTTACAGCAAACCGCACTTCTTCTTGTAATACTGTGTCACCAACAGCCTAAGATACAAATTTAAAAAAAAAACTGGTAGTTAACTATCGGCATACAAATTTTTGAAGGGTTACACTTTTACAAAAGATATAATGCCCTAGAGCCAACTCAGCTCTAATGTGTATCTGGCAGAAGTTAGATATTGAAAAAGGTTTTCATTAAGGCAGCCACCTATTGTAATTTTGGGTTTATCTAGGTTTTGATAAAATGTCCCTGAGCCCACTCAGCTCTAATGGGTACCTGGAATGTCTTTGGGGAACAACTCAGCTCTAATGGGTACCTGGAATGTCTTTGGGGAACAACTCAGCTCTAATGGGTACCTGGAATGTCTTTGGGGAACAACTCAGCTCTAATGGGTACCTGGAATGTCTTTGGGGAACATAAAATGGATTGAACAATGTGTCTATGACAAAATGATTGACTTCAGCAAATATCAAGATAGTGCAAGATATAATAAAAATATTCCAATCTATCAGAGCAGACAGCTCCTTAACCTGCCCCCTACAAGACTAAACCTTATATAAGGTATCTGTTATTGGACAATTACCTAACAAAGCAACACCCACTAATTACAAGTCAATAGCAGTACATATAATATTAATGACTTGAAAAACTTGATATATGAAATTTTAATTCTAAGGTGGCACTGGATGTGTGCATTGTGTTTAATATTATATATATATATATATATATATATATATATATATATATATATATATATATATATATATATATATATATATATATATATAGGTTTATATATAAAACTAGCACACATGCACTCAGGCTACACAGAAATCAACAAACCCACTGATTTCTACTAGCCCAGCTCAACTCAATCAAATATGTATGAAGCTGGCCATAAAACATCTTTCTAATCATGTTTAACAGTAGAAAAATGAAAAACCCTCCCCAGAAAACATCAACATTGAAATGGGAGGTAAAGAAAAACACAGCCCAGATTAGATTATTTCCCTTACTGACCTCATTAGGGTTATTGCTTGGATGGTTTGGATTAATTATTTGAAAAGGGTTAACATTTTTTTTTTTGTATCCCCATCAGAAAATATTGATTGCTGGTCATGGAAATTTCCCCGCTTCTTTTCAAAAAAAAAAAAAAAAAAAAAAAAAAAAAAAAACAACACAATGAATAAAAACTGTTTTCCCCCTGGTTGCCATGGCAACGAGACTACAAATCCTCAAATTAAACTAATCAAACGATGTTTACTCTGCGGCACTAATAGTTTATTTATTCTTGCACTTGTGCAGCCCGTGATGGTACAGCCAGCTCGTTAGGCTGCACTGCGGCTATTCAAATCTGGTGCCCATTCATGTGCCATCCCTATTAGGGCATCGGATCGATAGGCAGAATCAAGGGCACTAAAACGCACCAGTACCTCTTAAGCCACCACATTAAATAAACATACTTTGTCATAACTTATTAAAGTGCAAATTACTTAGTGAATATTAAAGCTATTAAGTTACTTTTATTTTTACCCGAACCCTGTCCCAAACAGCAAAATATTAAGAAAAAAACCTGTATGTCCTACTCGGTTTTTTTAACAGCCAAATATACCAACGTTTTAAAAGAAATAAAACTAGGGCCATACAAAGTTTTAATTTTCCTAAACATTTGTGAGAGCTTAATTAAAGTAATCAATCTTTTTTTTAACCTTATGCAAGAGTCATCTTATCTTTTCCCATTCATACCAAAGACATATGGGGCAGATAAAGTAGAGTTCATCTATTTCAATTACCTGTGCATACGAGGGGATAGTGTCGTCAGCATTTTACTTTCCCTTATGTGAATCAGGTACCCATCAGAGTTTATTGGACTCATGGGCATCATACAAACTCAAGACCGGGATCCGAACTAGACTTTTGAGTTATAAATCATAAGCCCTATCAATCGACCATGCCATTCCCCATATAGTAGTAAGCATGTGTCTACAAATGCTAAGATTAATCTGACCTTTGAACTTAAATTTGTTTCTGTTTTTTAACTGTGTAAACCCCTAATGCCGCTAGTACTGGGCTGTGCTATAAATAGCCCCTAGCCCGCCCTGTATCAACAAACAAGCCATTATCCCCAATCAGACAAACATACCCATTGTAAACTAACACAGGTCTTTCCTAAACTTACTTGACAGAAGAGCATCTGAGTCTCTGGTACGACCAGCAGTAAAAAACCACTCTCTGCTTGGGTGTGCAGTTGAAGCTGTAAAAAAAAAAAACTTTTCTAGTCATGAACGTAACAGTCTTACAATGCATATCTATTTATATACTTGTAAAACAAACTGCTTGTATATTAAAAATTTTCATAGCCTTTGTCTGTCGATATTTTTGAAAAAGAAGACAAGCACTTTTTATATGCAGTACACAAGTTAAATCTGTCTGGATTTCAATAGATAAAATCTAAGCAGTAAAGATATAAAAATACCAGAGAAAACAGGGGAGAGAAGTCAAGACAGGCAGATTTTAACAAAGTAAAGAAGCAAAAAGGGAGACCACTTACATATCTAACAACTTTAATCTCAAGTTTAGCTGCATCTTGATCATTTAGCTCCCCTGTTGATAAAAAAAAATTCCTTAGATAAACTAGGCAAATTGCACCTGGCATATCATCAAGTTACTTCCCCTGTTTTATAAAGCCACTAAGATTTTTTTTTAAGTCTACTGTCAATAAAAGTTGAACATGACTGCTTTATTGCATAAACATAGAGGTAGGCCTACATCACAGCACAATGGAACAAATATGGTGGTAGGTCATAGAAGAATGGAACAAACATTTGTTCCTCTAATGGAGGCTGGGTGAAGTGGGCATCCAAGTCAACACAAACCAGGGTGTTGGAGTTGGGGGGGGAGGAGATATTAGAGGGAGGGGGTTGGGGGGTTGATGGACTTACCACAGAGCTGTATCAAAGACTGTAAATGAGAAATTTGTGGTGTGCTGTCTTTACTGTGATTCGTTTTTATAACCTCATATGAAACAGATATCTGAAAAAAAAAATAGTTTTTAGAACTTTATATGAAACACATATCTAAAAAAAAAAGCATATTCAAAGTTTTCATAACTTTATACGAAACATTTCTGGAAAAAGTATTTATACAAAATATTTTCTAAATCTAAGTAGAATTTAACAACTGCGCAATGATAACAATAAAAAAAAAGTAAAATTTTAGAAAGATGAAATAAGCAAGAACACCTGTATGCCTATTTTAATCACTATCTATTGAAAACAAACAAGACTTTGGGAGAAAGTACTAATGTAATTTACCTGTTTTAAACACAACTCAACTCGTTTGGGATCAACACTTGATAATGCCCCAGCTTGTGACACAACCTGATGAGAAGTGACATGACAACATCAACTTGATGACAACATTACTTTCAACTTAACAAAAACATCAATTATAACTTTACAAAAACATCAACTCCAATCTGATGAAAATAACTAAATTCATTATGAAACCAACAATAGACTAGACTACTCTAGCTTGTTTAAGTCCTTTTTCCCAAACTATTCTAAAATAGCTCTCTATTTATATTTTACTATAAACAAACAAATGATAAAGCAGGCTCAACACATTGGAGTGTGAGGAAAAAAATGAAAGCTCAGAAAGATAACATTTAATTAAAGCTTTTTTTCCTGTTGCCATGGTTTTATCATATTTATCATAGTTTAGCTAGGGCTGAGTCTGGTGCAGGCAGAGGTGAAAGGTTAGTTGTCAGGGGTGTAAGGTTAGTTGTCAGGGGTGTAAGGTTAGTTGTCAGGGGTGTAAGGTTAGTTGTCAGGGGTGTAAGGTTAGTTGTCAGGGGTGTAAGGTTAGTTGTCAGGGGTGTAAGGTTAGTTGTCAGGGGTGTAGTGTAATATGTCAGTGGGTGTAGTGTTAGATGTCAGGGGTGTAGTGTTAGTTGTCAGGGGTGTAGTGCTAGATGTCAGGGGTGTAGTGCTAGATGTCAGGGGTGTAAGGTTAGTTGTCAGGGGTGTAAGGTTAGTTGTCAGGGGTGTAAGGTTAGTTGTCAGAGGTGTAAGGTTAGTTGTCAGGGGTGTAAGGTTAGTTGTCAGGGGTGTAAGGTTAGTTGTCAGGGGTGTAGTGCTAGATGCCAGAGGTGTAAGGTTAGTTGTCAGGGGTGTAGTGTTAGATGTCAGGGGTGTAAGGTTAGTTGTCAGGGGTGTAAGGTTAGATGTCAGGGGTGTAGTGTTAGATGTCAGGGGTGTAAGGTTAGTTGTCAGGGGTGTAAGGTTAGTTGTCAGGGGTGTAAGGTTAGTTGTCAGGGGTGTAAGGTTAGTTGTCAGGGGTGTAAGGTTAGATGTCAGGGGTGTAGTGTTAGATGTCAGGGGTGTAAGGTTAGTTGTCAGGGGTGTAAGGTTAGTTGTCAGGGGTGTAAGGTTAGTTGTCAGGGGTGTAAGGTTAGTTGTCAGGGGTGTAAGGTTAGTTGTCAGGGGTGTAAGGTTAGATGTCAGGGGTGTAAGGTTAGTTGTCAGGGGTGTAAGGTTAGTTGTCAGGGGTGTAGTGTTAGATGTCAGGGGTGTAAGGTTAGTTGTCAGGGGTGTAGTGCTAGATGCCAGAGGTGTAAGGTTAGTTGTCAGGGGTGTAGTGTTAGATGTCAGGGGTGTAAGGTTAGTTGTCAGGGGTGTAGTGTTAGATGTCAGGGGTGTAGTGTTAGATGTCAGGGGTGTAAGGTTAGTTGTCAGGGGTGTAAGGTTAGTTGTCAGGGGTGTCAGGTTAGTTGTCAGGGGTGTAGTGTTAGATGTCAGGGGTGTAGTGTTAGATGTCAGGGGTGTAAGGTTAGTTGTCAGGGGTGTAGTGTTAGATGTCAGGGGTGTAGTGTTAGATGTCAGGGGTGTAAGGTTAGTTGTCAGGGGTGTAAGGTTAGTTGTCAGAGGTGTAAGGTTAGTTGTCAGGGGTGTAAGGTTAGTTGTCAGGGGTGTAAGGTTAGATGTCAGGGGTGTAAGGTTAGTTGTCAGGGGTGTAAGGTTAGTTGTCAGGGGTGTAAGGTTAGATGTCAGGGGTGTAAGGTTAGTTGTCAGGGGTGTAGTGTTAGATGTCAGGGGTGTAAGGTTAGTTGTCAGGGGTGTAGTGTTAGATGTCAGGGGTGTAGTGTTAGATGTCAGGGGTGTAAGGTTAGTTGTCAGGGGTGTAGTGTTAGATGTCAGGGGTGTAAGGTTAGTTGTCAGGGGTGTAGTGTTAGATGTCAGGGGTGTAGTGTTAGATGTCAGGGGTGTAAGGTTAGTTGTCAGGGGTGTAGTGTTAGATGTCAGGGGTGTAGTGTTAGATGTCAGGGGTGTAGTGTTAGATGTCAGGGGTGTAAGGTTAGTTGTCAGGGGTGTAAGGTTAGTTGTCAGGGGTGTAAGGTTAGTTGTCAGGGGTGTAGTGTTAGATGTCAGGGGTGTAAGGTTAGTTGTCAGGGGTGTAGTGTTAGATGTCAGAGGTGTAAGGTTAGTTGTCAGGGGTGTAAGGTTAGATGCCAGAGGTGTAAGGTTAGTTGTCAGGGGTGTAAGGTTAGTTGTCAGGGGTGTAAGGTTAGTTGTCAGGGGTGTAAGGTTAGATGTCAGGGGTGTAAGGTTAGTTGTCAGGGGTGTAGTGCTAGATGCCAGAGGTGTAAGGTTAGTTGTCAGGGGTGTAAGGTTAGTTGTCAGGGGTGTAAGGTTAGTTGTCAGGGGTGTAAGGTTAGTTGTCAGGGGTGTAAGGTTAGTTGTCAGGGGTGTAAGGTTAGTTGTCAGGGGTGTAAGGTTAGTTGTCAGGGGTGTAAGGTTAGTTGTCAGGGGTGTAAGGTTAGTTGTCAGGGGTGTAAGGTTAGTTGTCAGGGGTGTAAGGTTAGTTGTCAGGGGTGTAAGGTTAGTTGTCAGGGGTGTAAGGTTAGTTGTCAGGGGTGTAAGGTTAGTTGTCAGGGGTGTAAGGTTAGTTGTCAGGGGTGTAAGGTTAGTTGTCAGGGGTGTAAGGTTAGTTGTCAGGGGTGTAGTGCTAGATGCCAGAGGTGTAAGGTTAGTTGTCAGGGGTGTAAGGTTAGTTGTCAGGGGTGTAGTGCTAGATGCCAGAGGTGTAGTACTAGATGTCAGGGGTGTAGAGCTAGATGTCAGGGGTGTAGGGCTAGATGTCAGGGGTGTAGAGCTAAATGTCAGGGGTGTAGTATTAGATGTCAGGTGTGTAGGGCTAGATGTCAGGGGTGTAGTGCTAGATGTCAGGGGTGTTGTACAAGGCTTGGTGCCATATGTCAGGGTTCTGGTGTAGTAAAGTCATCAGCTTGCTAGAGTTAATGATGAGTGGGCAACTTACCACCACTAGACCTATAGTTTTCTGTGTCCCCCGTTCAGGAATTGGAAGCAGCAAAACTGCAGGAGATAGAATAACATGTTAGCTGTTAGCAATCTGTTAATCCAATGGGACAACAACATTAAATATCTTGGACCATAATCCAATGGGACAGACAACAACATTAGATATCTTGGACCATAATCCAATGGGACAACAACATTAGATATTATGGACCATAATCCAATGGGACAACAACATTAGATATCTTGGACCATAATCCACTGGGACAACACCAAAATATTTTTGGACCATAATTAACATGCTGTGCCTCCTTCTCTCTTCCCCCCCCCCCCCCCCATGGCCCAATACAATGAATCTACCTGTGAAGACTGACGTCATTACCTGAGTGGTTGTTGTCAGTGTTGTGCTGGGTACCCAGCAGTTCCCTGATGCTGTCCTGGTTGTGGTTGACTGTCACCAGAGTTTTGCCTCGTTGTTGTAGGATATCACTGAAATACAAACACAAACATGATAGATATCACTGAAATACAAACACAAACATGATAGATATCACTGAAACACAAACATGATAGATACCACTGAAACACAAACATAGGCATGATAGATGTCACTGAAACACAAACATGATAGATACCACTGAAACACAAACATAGGCATGACAGATATCACTGAAACACAAACATGATAGATATCACTGAAACACAAACACAGGCATGGTAGATATCAATGAAACACAAACATGATAGATATCACTGAAACACAAACACAGGCATGATAGATATCAATGAAACACAAACATGATAGATATCACTGAAACACAAACATGCATGGCAGATATCACTGAAAGACAAACACAAACATGATAGATATCACTGAAACACAAACGTAAACGTTGACATGGGGTTGATGCATCGTCCTTATCTACGAGGTTAATTACCCCCTATGCTAGGGGTTGATAGTTTCACTTTCCTAATGGGCTAATTTTGCCGTGAGTCTCTCATCAACGTTGCCACCGATTCGCATCAGGACTACCACAACTGCAACCACCAGCACCATACAACTTTTTGACTCCCCCCCCCCCCCCCCCCGCCACAACAAGAAAATTAAAACCCCTACCATCCCAAAGGTTCGTGACGTCACATATGTATGCCCTCCACACCACCTACACACACACACATTAGTCAATGTGCTATAGAGTTCGTGTAAAAGCTGTCTCTTCTTCAATTATTCAAACTACTAGATAATTCGCCCGATAGTGGAAAAATGCAACGGGCCTCACCTGTTTTTTTTTCTTTTTACCTCAACCAGAGCTGTAATCTTAAAGCTAACCTTCAAACCCTATCTTTAAAATTAACTCTAATCTTAACCTGAATCCAAGCGCACATATTTTGCTTTTGCTGTTGTTAGTCATATTTGCTTTTTTTTTATTCGTGTACAAATTAAACAGAACTATTTGCGTCTTTACTATTGGTGATGTCATTACTTTTGTAACTTTTCCGGCGTCATACGTTTTCGTTTTAATCTTTTATTTTACTTTTTTTTCCTCTTAATTTCTTGTGACGTCACACTTAGACTGAATAGTGAAACTATTATCTAGTAGCTCCGTTATACTTGTTTACTTTTAAACAAGTATAATTAACAATTAACTTACAACCCCCCTCCCAACCCACTCCATCCAGACACACACACTACTATGACGACAACCCATACACAGAATTTCTTCCAGGCATCATCTACTGCCCCCCCCCCCCCCCGAACGAAATGAAATTCATATAACTTATATAGAAAATACATACTTTTAACAGCGTCCCCCCCCCCCCCAAGAAAGTCTACCGCCCCCCCCCCCCCCCCCCCCCGGAGAAAAAAGTCTGGAAGAAACACTGTCCATACAGTTTTCAAGTGGCGTATGGAGGCTATGGCCACCGTATTTCACCCACAACTGGAAGCCAGATCATCACAAAGATAACTTCATTAAACATTTTAACACACCCCCCCCCGCCCCAACCCCACCCAACATTTGTGTTTGGGTCTGTAATCGATTCCCAACGCCCGACCGACCCAACGAATGACTTGAGGTGCGGAAACGTAAGCTACCTTCTGATTGGCTCTCGAGATAACGTGACAGGAAGTGTCAACGTGGCCTCGTGATGACCTCCCATATTGGAAAATACTTGTGTGTAAAAAAAAAAAATGAACATCCCTTCTAATACTTCTATCAAACACTTGTGTGAAAAGGAAAAGTACACCCTTTCCATCAAATAATGAACAAAACTCCCAACCGCCCCCAACTCCTCAATAATGAAAAAGAATCATTATAAAATCGAAATCTGGTAGACATACAAGAACACACAAAAAATAGAATACAACCAATTTTGTCAATAGCGGTTAATTAATCCGGGGAAAGTCTAGGCTTTCAACTACTTAAAACAGTACTAGTGGTGTTTTATTAAGGGATAAGGGGGAACGGATTATTACATCTTCGGGTATAATTTTTAATCAATAGGAAAATTAATGAGAAGATATTTGTGGAAAAGGTTTTTGCTTTTTTTTTCTGGGAAAACGGAACAGGAGATGGGAGTGAATTAGAAGCAGGGTGGATAATAGTGGAGAATGGATTTGTGTGGATGATGAAGAATAAGGGAAATCGAATAGAGATGGATGATGGATAATGGCGGACAGGTGGATTAGAACTGTGTCTGTTTTTTTTTCTTTGAGAATGAACTAAAGGAAGAAGGAACTAAAGGCAAGACAGAGGAAGAACAAAAGACAGAGAGAGGATGAACTAAAGGCAGACACAGGATGAACTAAAGGCAGAGAGAGGATGAACTAAAGGCAGACAGAATGAACTAAAGGCAGACAGAGGATGAGCTAGTAAAGGCAGACAGAGGATGAACTAAAGGCAGACAGAATGAACTAAAGGCAGACAGAGGATGAGCTAGTAAAGGCAGACAGAGGATGAACTAAAGGCAGACAGAATGAACTAAAGGCAGACAGAGGATGAGCTAGTAAAGGCAGACAGAGGATGAACTAAAGGCAGACAGAATGAACTAAAGGCAGACAGAGGATGAGCTAGTAAAGGCAGACAGAGGATGAACTAAAGGCAGACAGAGGAAGAACTAAAAGCAGACAGAGGATGAACTAAAGGCAGACAGAGGATGAGTCTGCCCTAAATCTCACGATTTAGCCGGCTTCCACTATATACATATACAGCTAAACGTCGGTTTTCGTCGATAGTCTGAAAATAATCGATAAAATCCGAAACCAACTAAACTGAGGCTATTATTTACTTAATCAATGTAAATCCAATTAATTCTCCCAAAACCACTTCAAAAAATAACTAAAACACAATTTTATTCTAAAATGTAAAAAAAAAAAAAAAAACTATTCTTTTTCTCTAGGAAAAATGAATGAATGTAAAGACTGGAAAAGAAAATGAATATTTAACGTGGCATCGATCTTCAGGAGACACTATTTGTACAGCTGGGGATGGAAGTAATGAAACTAGATACAGAGTTGATAGGTCACGGCGAGTGTGATCAACTGGCATTTACCACTCGTTTACCACTTCTGTCTTACTTTAGTATGAGGGGGTGGGGGGAAGGCAAACAATGGATGTGTTGAGTGAGCCACGATGTGTGATGCTCACACACAGACAAACAACGCCGAAGTGGAATCTAGTTCAACACGTTGGTTAACCGTTTGCGTTAACTTTCGGATGATAAAGTGGCGCTGCGTCGAAATTCGATACAAGGGGAGGAAAACGGAAACCGAACATAACCGAAAGCAAAGAAAATAGAAGTTTAATAAAAATTGCTTTATATTAAAAAGTTTTTTTTTTTTAAATAACGGCTAATGTGAAAAAAAAGCCTCCATGTCTTCTGTTGTTACTGTTATTGAATAAAGAATAATGAATAAAGAAAAGTTACACTGTACTAACATAACAAGAACATAATTTCCTAAAGCATTTCCGATGTTTTTAACGCCAGACTGATGATACAAATCATAGACAAACATGGGAGTACATAGTGTTACTGAGATATATCTCTTTGGCATAAGGCAGTCACAAAAAAACAGACGCTTAGCTGAGTACACAACAGGAACATGCTGGACAGAAGACTAGAGGATGTGTAGACAGATGAGGGACTCGCCTTATGAATAAACAACTGTGGCGGGACTTGGGGAGGGGGGGGGTGTAGGGTCGGTGTGAAGCCCTGTGACAAAGTGGTGGGGGACGACTCCCCAATAAAGTGGGGTATCAATTATGGAGGGATCCATTAGTGAAAGTGGTCAAATATAAACCGGACAAACTGAGATAGGCGAGCAGCCAGAAACAAGACAAAAAGTGATACAACATGGCCAAAAGCTAGGCAAGATAACGCACAACTTAGACAAAAAAAACGACCGAAAACTTTATCAAAATAATAGAAAAACCTAACAAAAACTCAACCAATAATTTTTGTAATGGATTTTAAAAAATTAAATATAAAAAACTATTCTATACAACTAAACTGTCCGGATCACTGTCTGTATATAACAACTGTGTCTATAACAACTGTCCGTATAACAACTGTCTGAGAAACTGGCCTAACAAGGGGACTCACCTGATAAATCGACTGTTGGGCAGAGTCCGACAGTTCTCGTCCACTAGATGTGTGCTGACTGGGTCTCGTAGAAACACTTTGACTAGACTCTGGGGACAGGCAAAGGTCAGGGGTTAGGTCTTTAGCATTGGTGAGATATGAGGTCAGGGGTTAGGTCTTTAGCATTGTGCTAGTGAGATATGAGGTCACGGGTTAGGTCTTTAGTACTAGACTAGAGAGATGGTTAGGTCTTTAGCATTGGGCTGGTGAGATATGAGGTCATGGGTTAGGTCTTTAGCAATGTGCTGGTGACATATAAGGTTATGGGTTAGGTCTTTTCCATTGGGATAGTGAGATATGAGGTCATGGGTTAGGTCTTTAGCATTGGTGAGATACGAGGTCATAGGTTAGGTCTTTAGCAATGTGCTGATGACATATAAGGTTATGGGTTAGGTCTTTAGCATTGGGCTGGTGAGATATGAGGTCACGAGTTAGGTCTTTAGAATTGGGCTGGTGAGATATGAGGTTATGGGTTAGGTCTTTAGCATTGGGCTGGTGAGATATGAGGTCATGGGTTAGGTCTTTAGAATTGGGCTGGTGAGATACGAGGTCATTGGTTAGGTCTTTAGCATTAAACTAGATACTAGGTCAATCAGCACAAGATTGGAGATACAAACTGAGATACAAACTTGTTAAGCTTCTAATCCAATATTAAATCATGTTTTCATTTAGCTTAACGAACAAAGACATGCGGTAAGCGCTGGACACAAATTACATTCTATTTTCTCTTAATTGGCTCAAGACGTCGGACGCACGAACTACTGAAAACATCGTCAATGTTGTAATCATACATAAAAACTCCCTTTTTTACAATTTGCAATGTTTTTTTTTATAATACAAACTAATTTGCCCGGTATAGCCCAAGATTGTATTTATTCTAGGCAGCATCTTCTGATGGTAAATGATTTAGTCTATGAAAACACGGCAATTATTGTTTTATTTTCAGAGCGGTGCTTACAATAGGATAATTGCTTGATAGCCAGTGCTTTGCTTACAATTTGCATTAGCTTTTGAGAATCCCCTATGGGGCTTTTGGTTAACTGACATTTGAATCTATGACGTATGCCGTTCTGAGTACACGGATTCTTCAAGTGAATTAAAATGTGTAGCTCAAGGCTAGTTTTACAATTAGATAAAATCCCACATTGATGGTATGCGGCAGCAGTCAGCGATAAAAAATATGTGTGAGTGTGTGTGGGGGTGGGGGAGACAGGTATTGAGGGGAGATAAACATAAGATGGTACTGAGGGGAGATAAATATTGGATAGTATTTTAGGGGAGATATAACATGGTCTAGTATTGAGGGGAGATACATATTGAATGGCTTTGATATTATAGGGGAGATAAATACTGAATGGTATTTTAGTGGAGATACATATTGAATGGTGTTGTAGGGGAGATAAATACTGAATGGTAAAAAAGGGGAGGTAAATACCGAATGGTATTTTAGTGGAGATACATATTGAATGGGGAGATAAATACTGAATGATAAAATAGGGGAGGTAAATACCGAATGGTATTATAGTGGTGATACTAAATATAATTTAGTGGAGGTAAATATTGGATGGTAGTATACGAGAGATAAAACATGGGGTGGTATTAAGGGTGAAATATTATATGGTATTTTAGGAGAGGTTAATATTGGATGATATTGAAAGCAGACGAAAAATTGTTAGTTTTGAAGGGAGATAACTATGGGCTAAAGTAAATTTAAAATAAACACGGATAAGCTGCTACGTATTGGGACGCATCAATCAATGACAGTCCTTTCCAATCTTCACAAACACACACTGTGTTGGGTGAATACAGTAAACAACGTTATAAGAAAAACGCGTTTTTAACACAATCGTACTATCTTGTCAGTCTTATACCACCGCACTTTCTAATACTAACAACACAACTACACCAATTCTTCATGTAATATTCAAACAATCCATTTAGTTTTTCTATCACAGAGTTTATTTCAATTGTCTGTGACCGAACTGGTTTACGAAAACGATCTAAAACGACAAGTCATAGAATTCGATCTATTTCTATAATGGATTTCAAAAGTCTGTAAGACGAAAAGCCCGCTGTTCTATTTTTAGCGCAATTTCCATACTGGACAATTGCGATTATTAATGCGTTCTGGATGGATGTGTGTCCGCAGCTTTAAGTCGTATCTCCTCCTCAACGAAGCAATATCGAGGACTAGTTCTAAAAGCAAATATGTTAAGCAAGTTCCGAGGATGATTGTGGGCCAAAAAATTCCCGGAATTCCTTCCTGGATTTCCCGGAAAAGCCAAAAAAAACCTCGAAAAAATGCAGTTTTTTGCCCATATCTCGGCAACCAGACCACTTAGCGACTTGAAACATTTACCAATCGATTCCTGCCATAATTTAGAACAATATTGCCGAAGAAAGTTTTCAAAAATATCCTTTCGTTCGGTCACAAAAAATTAATTAAGGAAATTGCGCTTAAATTGTCACTAGACTTTTTATTAACTTGTTTTTTAAATTATTTAACATACACCAATAATACTTTCAATATCTGCGCGGAAAAAAAAGTGTTCGTGGAAACTTTATGTACATTAAACAGGCAATGTATCCCCTACAAATTACAATGTCTTGTGTGAATAAAGTTTTCTTGGATGATGCTCTACATCTAGAGATAGATACACTAATCAAGTCTGAACATAATTCCAAGGTCTGTTTGAATACATGTTACGTGGTTAATATATTTCTTTATATTTCTTTAACCATAATAGTAATTTTAATGTCTGTTTGAATACAAGTATTTAACGTAATCAATATATTTCTTAAATTATAATAGTAATTTTAATGTCTGTTTGAATACGTATAAGTATTTAACGTAGTCATTATATTTCTTTAACCATATTAGTAATTTTAATATCAGTGTGACTGAAATGTTCTAGTACAATTTTTTTTTGTTCTAGATCAAATTTCTGTATTATATTTATAGGCAAAAGTTCTATGTTCTACTAAAGCTCTATATAAAGAAAACAGACAAAAAAGAATTTCTCTAGCCTTTACAATATTTTAATGTCCCAATGACTGAAATAGCTCTATGGAAGAAAAAATTCTATGTCCAGTCAATAATCTGGGGGTCAAGATATCCCCGGGGGGGGCCGGGAAAACGCTGGGTTGATGGACAGCCAGCAGTATCGGGCAGAGATGTGTATCCAGGGGGGCTGCATTGATAACCCTCATTTGGTCGGGGCGGCGGGCTGGGAGGGGGAGACATCGCGTGCAGGGGTTACAGCGACGTCCGACCCCGGCGTCCTTCAACTCCCGGGGTCAAGAAGACGATGAAAAGATTTTTGGCGAGTCCGGGCGCCGGTCATGGAACATTATCGATAGTATCGCTAGCCGGGACAACAGCGGCTTGTTGAGGCTGTGTGTAAGGGATACTGCACATATTATGTAACACATTTTTTTACCATACACCCCATATACCGTGATATCACAATTGTTGAGGCTGTCTGTAAGTAGTGTAAGGGATACTGCACATATTATGTAACATATTTTTTACCCTACACCCCATATAACGTGATATCAAAAATTTCGTATAACACCAGCCTCGAAATTAATAACAAAACAGGAAAAAAACAGAATACACCCTTTTCACAGTTAGCTACACACATGTTATTACACAACTGTGGAGTGTGACCTACTTAGGTCCAGTAATGTTTTATTTTGACATTGTGTTAATACCATATATGGAGTGATGGTGCAACTACCGGGGTTTTTCCACTGTCTTATTAAGAGTGTCTAAGACGTAGAAATTTTCCATCAAGATCTGATTGATTAATTCAGACCAGATAACCACCCCATAGCTCAGTGGCTAGGATCTCGGCGCGCCACGGCGGCGGCCGAGGTTCGATTACTCGGTGAGAAACTGAGTATAGTCTATGGTGTCTAGTGGTTTAGTGGCTTAGAAACTCGGTTTGCAGCCGAGTAGTGTGGCACAGTGGTTAGGAACACCATTAGTGGCCTAGTGGTTAGAATCACATAGGTGTCACACAATAGGAAACACAACCAGCACGAGAACAGTAGCTCAAGTAGCCTTGAGTGATCTGTGAGTCTCCATAGAGACTTGTCCGCACAGGCAGTCTACCTTGATCAAAGGGTCTATTAAGACCAGGCCGTCCATTTTGTCCGGCAATAGATTCTGACCATTTGAACGTGAGAGAACTTAAGTCCTGAGTGTGCTAAGCTTTCTTAAGTTGTTTTAGTCTTCTAGTATAATATTACTTGCCGCCAAGTGATTCTTGAAGCTATAGCAGTGTTGTGTGACCTGTGGCTATTTTTATACAGTGTTCAAATCTGTGATACTATTTTTTCTTACGCTTTGTAAGTTGGGTTTTGTTATTTTCTAAATTAAATATTTTATCTGTTTAACCTAGTGTTCTGCCACAACTGTGTTCGCTTATTAAAGGTTGTCTGCAGATTGAATGAGTTGTTAACTTCAATAGTATCACTAGTTTTCCCTAGACATCGAAATCGAGCCCTAGTGTGTTGTTGGGTTAGCGTTCATTCATTTAGGCTTTAAGTCATTTGCATATAACCCCGAAAAAAGAATCCGGGGACGTTCACCATCTATCTGGCTGGTAGATAGGTAAACGTTACAAAGTGGGGGCTCGTCCGGGATTTAATCTGTCGTTCCAGTTGGTTATATCAGTTAAACACTAAGTTTAGTTTGATTTAGTTGTTTTTCTATCCAGTGAAGCCGTGTTATTGAAACGCGCGCAAGCATAGAGTTATCTAGGTCAAAAGTCAGACGTGTCACGTCCTAGATTGAAGAGGTCAAGTACACGGCCCAACGCTCCGTGTTAATTTAGAGAATCTAGGCTTGTTGTGATTTTGAAAGTTAGTGTTATGGAATCTTTTTTGGCTAAATCCCACTTTTGAGGAGGTAGAAAAGTTGAGTAGAAAAGTTTTGATTAGTGTTGTTAAGGAATTGAAATTGGATTATTCTGTTACGCAGAAATCAGAGGTGTTGAGAGATAAAATTGTTGTTCATTTTATTAATGAAGGAGTATTTGATGAA